ATAGCTTAGTCTCTTTCAAGTTCAGTTACCTGTTCAAGTACTGAGCAATTAAGACATCTTAATCGGTAGTCGAAGTGAACCCAAGCTGGGCTGAAAATTTAAATGAACTCCTATATATAAACTCCTATATAGTATATTTGCTTTAATGGAAGCTGAACACATACACTAAATGATCAAAAGTTTGTTGAAACCTGATGATCTCACATACTATATGGCAAAAATTACTGTGACACCCCCTCCTAATTATTGAGTGCAGGTGTTTCCAATGAAGGTTCTTGCTAATGTTACAGCATACAAAATATTAAACATGTGTGTGCTTCCAACCTTGTTGAAGGGATTAGCCCTTAAGTTTGATGTCTCGGCCATCTTGTCTCTCTGAGCCAAAGCCCTTCCATTTTAGAATCAGTATCCATCTTAAGTCAGTATTTTAAAAGAATTGACTTTCTTGTTTTAAACGGTATTTTCTCAGGAGTTAAAAGTTCCTCTTTTTGTCCAGGTGTAACTTCCCCTTTTTCCTTTAGCTAGCACAAGACTGAAAGCCTGTGGTGGGCTACATCCTGTTGCAAGAGTATTAATAACTATAGCCAGCGTTAAAAAGGGAATTGTCTGCTTTCTGTGCTGTTCAAAAGTTCAAGCTTGACGCATATAATAATAATTAACATATATGCCAACTGATTGGGCATGACTGACGTATGTAATATTCTGATTGGTTAAATGCATACCTGTCAATTGATTGGTTCTTATATTTCTATGCATTGTTTTAAGTTTCATATATAAGTTTAAACACGGAAGAATAAATTCAGTTCCTTCTGAGATACCACCTTGTGTCTGTGTGCATTTTCCTGTGTCTCAAAGGGGGCTCCAGATCTGAGGGGTAATTACTGATCAAGGCCAGGGGCTGACGGGGGTCAGTGCAGAGAGGAACGAGAAGACAATTCCTTTCACTTGTGGTGACAGTTTTAGGACATGACTGTGCCAAAAAGTCAGGTCAAAAAATTATATGGTTGATGAGCTTGGTGTTGAGGAACCTGAGTTGCCTTCACAGACCTTGACCTCAATTCTATTGAAAATCTTTGGGATATACTGAAATGCCTATTGCGTGCCAGACCTTCGTGTTCCATCTCAGTAGTAGACCTCCCAAATGCTGTTTTTACTAAATGGGCCAAAATCCCACAGACAAGCTTTCTAGTGGAACCCTTATAGCCCCAAAATGTTGTTCAGTTGTGTACCAATGCTCATAGTTTTGGAATGGCATTTTTAACAAACTCATTAAATGTAGGTGTGATGGTCAGGTGTCCACAAACTTATGATCATATAGTGTATTTGTATATTTGTGTAAAGCTACCCATGCACAGTCCTTGAGCTTGGTTTTGTGGTTTTTATTAAGAGGTTAAACATGGATGGGGTCTAGAGGTATTTGGGATGCACAAGGAACTGTAGAAAATGAGGACAACTCCTTACCAACTATGTACAAAGATTTGGTTAGCAACAGTCTTTGCAACTTCTTTAACAGCACCAAAGGCTCTTAGGTGTACCTCCTCAGACTCCGGATGATTCCTCCTCTTTACCTAGCTGCCTGAGGGTATCCCCAGACAAGGGGGCCCAAGAGCTGTTAATTTAGACCAGTCCCAGATGAGAAGCTAGTTGGATCTTGCAACTGACTGCCCCCTTCCCTTATTTGGCCCAGGGGGTGTAAACGTACTCACACTGTCCTCTCCTGTTAGCTTAGTGGGTTGATGACTGCCTTCAGGCTTATGCTGGGCTTGCTCTATCCCTGCTACATAGGCTGTCATCCCTAGGAGACATTAAGGCAGTGGAGAACCTCTTTTCTGACAACTGGTCTGTAGGTGGGTTCCCCTCCCAGGCTCCACACTCCAGCCTTCCTCAATCCACCTTCAACCTGACACTGCACACCTCCCCCCAGGCTCTGCCACATTTGCGGTTTGCTCTGGTCACCATGTTCAGCCTCCTGCTGGTTGATTGGCCAAGGTCCCTCAAACATGCAGATCTGGGCCTCCTCCCCTCCTCCACCACTCTTCCAGAAAAGTCACAGGTTTCTGGAAAGGTGGGAGGGCTTCAGAAGCCCTGACCTGTTAGAGCCTCCCAGCCTGTCCTGAGGTAACCTCACTACCTCACTCCCCAGGCTGATATTCAGCCACTAACTAAAATAAGCTTCCTAACTAATCTGGAGGGAATTATATGTGTGTGACAGAACCAACTGGTACAGAGTCTTTTGGAGGAGACTACAAGCTAACCTCTTGCCTACTGACTATGGGCTCTGGTGTTTGCAGGGGGGCTCTATTCTATAGAAGGTGTGTGCCTAGGGAACATGTTGGAGCAGTTTTACTTCGGATTCAAGTCCATGTCTCCCCAAAACACACAGATTCTGAGCACTGGAGGACCAGGATACAAATTTGGGTTCTTTGTGCTCAAGCCAGCATTTAATTCTTCAATCCCCTCTTAAACTCAGAAACTCTAAGCAGATGTTAATATAATCCGCTCAAAACAACCTGACACTGAAGTATCTTGCTGTAATCTGTTTATTAAGGTGTTATGTGTTTGCTGTTGTGTTTTTGTTCCATTGTTTCTATCTGTTGGCTAGTCCTCATGGAGTTCCTACATGATAGGATTAGTCTTGTGTCAACTTGATCCCATTACCTAATCAGTGTGGGTTGCTTATCCCAATGGGTAATATTTGTTTTTATTGTTCATGTGGGGTCTGCCCCTATGTCTGAAGTGTATAAAAAACCAGTATTTCTGTTCAATAAGGAGTTCCTGTTGCACCAAAGCTAGTTCTGCCTAGTCCTTGGGTGCAATGCCCAGCTATAATACCATGGTCCTTTGTCCAAGCGACGAGGAAGCAGTTCTCTGATGGAAGCACTCAGGCAGGGTGCCAGACAGTCCATCACAATCTGCCAATCCAGTTCTAAAATTTACACAGCTCTGCCACACAGCACAGCCCTGTCCAACCTGATAGCTTTTCTATTGTAGTTAGCTTAGATCCCTTTCTTACGGGATGGACTTCGTTCCAATCAGTAGGGGATCTATGAGCTGATTGGGGCAGAGTGGGACAGATACACATCTGTGCCCACTCTGCATAAACTGAGATCGTGCTCTGCTCGTTGGGTGGCCTGGTGTAAACAGACTCCACTGTCCGTTTACACCTGACTACCTTTGATAAGCTCTGCCAAAACAGATAAGAACACAGTCCTCAATGTTTTCTTTAGTGGACATGATCGGACCCAGAGATAAGCAGGTGTAAACAGATACATGTCTGTTTACACCCGCCTATCCATAGGGATGCATGGACCTTTCAATCAGGTCCACCTGAAAAACTGACTGGTGAACCTCATTGGTACTGCCAAAGGGCCTAACACTCAGACCTCACAGACATGGCCAAATCAGGAATAATGCAACAAGTATCTTGAGGAAAACTGCTACCAGGAACCCAGGTGTGTGCAGACAGTTGCAGCCAGGAAGCCTGTACAATGCAATGACAGGCTGACAGTGGCCGCAGCTTCATAGCTGTCCACCTGTGTTTAGGGCTAAGGTTTTGTTCACACCAGTGTGCAAAATCACTTGCTTTCCCACAACGCACAACCAAAAGCTGCCCCTTTGCAGACAAGTGGCAGTGCTATCAATTCTTTATGGCAAGCTCAAGCATCTTGCAACAGTGTGCTTACATGTGCCAAAATGTAGGATACCGCAGTACCATATGGTTTGGTACAGTACAATTTTGAAAATGGTACGGTCACCTTTTTTAAGCCTTTGTCGCACGTAGGGCAGCCTATTGAAATTAATGGACTGCCCTAAACATGATGCATTGGAACATGCAAAAATGTGCAAAAAGGCGCATGCTTAGTCATACCTCCTATTGAGAATGGAGCCTAACTGCACAGGGAGTGACTATCTGTGGTTAGTGATTGATGACCATCCCTGGAGCAAGCTGCTTCTGTCCCTATCTGCAGATATACAATCTATGTGCAATTTCACCCAAACAGCTGAGGCCAGTGTCAGCCTTGATGGTGTTCTATATAGGCTTTCTAGCCACAGCTCTCTGCACACATCTGGACTCCTGGATACAACATTCCACAAATATACTTGCCACATCATGACTGATTTTCCCACGAGAGGTCTTGTCTCTTGCCCAGCCTGTGATTAGACAGTTGTGGGGTAGCAGCAGGTTGATGAGCTCATCTTTCTTGTCCCCCTGCTCTCTTTCCCTAGCAGCATCATATTCTTTGTTAGTGCATGAAAATTTCAGCATAACTGACTGGCTCGTTGTGCTTCTTCTCCCTCTCCCAGCCTGAGCTGTGCTGTAAATGGACTGCAAGATACTGATACCAAGTCTAAATTCCAGTACTTGCACATAATGAATTTAAAAATGCATTTAATAATACATTAAAGAGTATGTAAAGCAATGTTTTTTTCTTGCAAGCTTTGTTAGTTTTGGCATATTAATGAGTTGGCCCTCACAGAAAGAACATATCAGAGAGCCACAGAATTTAGGACTCTACATAGAATTAAACATGGCATACAGGCACTTACAGAGCAATCAGATACCCCCAATAAGTTAGGTCTCTTTACTATGAAAGAAGTGAGCAGAGCTATTTTTGTTGCACTATAGGCCCACCCTACTCACTTTCCTGTTTGCCATAAAGTAAGATGGACTTCTTCACTGGCCAATGGTAAGAAAAATGGGCCATAGGAGCTCATAACAGTACAACCAGGCCTTTCTGAGTACAAGGGTGTTCTGTGAACTAGGTATGGATATGCTTGTGTTATTAGGACCCATTATCTATGTAAGCAGGTAGGGCAAAGTAGTTGCCCTTTAATGGTGCTTTAATGGGATGGGAGCTCCTATAAATGCCAGGGAGGGAGGAGGGTTGTGTGGACCCCAGGAAGAAAAGAGCAGGAAAAAAGGTCAGACTAAAGTTCTCCTGCTCTCCCCCTGCTGGTAATAAGCATGGCATCATTGGGGATCCCCTCCCAGGATCCTTGGGAGCAGGGGCGGACTGACCATTTGGGAACTTGGGCATTGCCCGAGGGCCCGGGGTCAGTAGGGGGCCCCATGAGATGCCCCTGATACCTCTTTCAGAGGCTTTTTTGAGTTTAGGCAAGGATACAGGGGCCCCATGATCCCCTATTGCCTGGGGGCCCCATGAGTTGTCAGTCCGCCCCTGCTTGGGAGCTAAAGCAAGGGTATTCCACTGCACAGCTGGAGGTGATACTGTTGGGACTGGGTTTTCCCCGTTTTCCCCCCCCCCCACCTTCCTTATAGAAGGAAGCTATGGCAGTTATCAACTGGAGTATGCAGACCAATCACTCTAATTAAGCTTTGAAACAAGCACCTCCCAACCAGGCAGGGATCAACTGTCTACCATGTCTTGAGTACTGTCTTGAGGTTCCTGGACTAATCACTGGTATGCTGTCACTTGAATCACTGCCAGAGCCGAATCTAGCTTATCTGCTCTGTGGGTGCTGAAAAAAAAAAGTCAGGGGCAGAATGTGTGTGAGCCACTGACAGTCTGCCACACAGTGTCATGACCTGGGAAATACTATTAAACAGAACCAGTCCCCCTCCCTTATATCAGAAGTACTGTATATAATCCCTGTAAAGAAAAAAAGGAATGGCACAGGAAAAGTTCCAATGTGCACTGAAAAACTTTCATAAGCATAAAGATCCTAAATGATCAAAGTCCAAACATATAAATAAAAAAAAGTCCATAAATTCCATAATTAGAAGGAAAGACAACACTAGTGGCAGCTCCCCACAGAGTAAAGAAAGTTTTCTTTTTTTATATCACCCTATAAGAGTCCCTCTATACATCATAACTCGTGATCAGAGTTCCCCCTTACATCAGGTGTTGCCATCAGAGTTCCCCCTTACATCGGGGTCCCCATCATAGTGCCTCCTTACATCAAGGCCCAAATATAGTCCCCCTTACATTAGGTTTCCCCATCAGAGTGTCCCCTTACATATGATTAGTTATCCCTATGAGAAACCACAGTCAAGCCCTGGGAACATACTAGAGATCATTGCCTGTGTAAATCTGGATGTCGAGCTCAAGGAGGGATGAGGGCTAGTGTGTAGATACCCGTGGGAGTGAGAGTCTTAAACAGACACAGTCAGGAGGGTGAAGGGGTCTGATCTCTGGCATGCTCACATAGGAGAGTACAAGAGGGCGAGACAGGACACCTGCCCTGAAAGTTGGTCCAACTGGTAGGGTGACTCAGCTGCTCTCTAAGGCCACATGAGAGGCAGTCAGGGCCCCTCTTACAAGCACGCTTGCAGGTATTCTTTAAAATGGTCAAAAAAGAGGGAAAGGGCTGCTCCCCCAAACCCAGGGCCTTCTCCACAAACTGAGGTTCAACCACCCATGTAATGACAATGCCCTTTGGATCACCCACAATATTTCATCCTCTCCACTGTGAGTTTATTTGCCATTTGTCATACTGAAAATATTTTTCACATCTGTTTAACTATAAAGGTTAATAAAACGAATCCAAATCATCAAAACAGCTTTTTTTAATTAGCCACTTCATAAGTGCCGTATTTAATTACATTTGTGTTGCCGGGGGGAAATATTTGCATCCTCCTTCTGCAGTAAAACTACATCATGTGCAAGTTCATAAAAATACATTTACACGCAGTCAAAAAATGTAATAACATTCTCCAGATAGGAAAAATGGATTTACATTCTTAAAAAAGTGTCATGTTAATGTTGGGCGATTATGAAGCTTTTTGCATATTAAGGAGTTTGAAATAGACTGCTCACTTTTGTTTATTAAAAAAAAGTAAAATATCAGCATTCTTTTTTTTCTCTACCATAAGAGAATATTGAAAGTTTAATTTTGGTTAACAAGCAAAATTAGAATATTCACTCCATTTTTCTTAGGATGGCTTTAAAACAAGGTGTTTATAGGCCAGTTCTCCTTTGAACATGTTGCTGGAAACGCTCATTCCATGCGTGTTTCGTGCACAGTGTTCAAAACGCACTTTATTTGAAATCTGCAGTGGGTGTCAGTGTTAACTTAACGACACCCCAAATGCAGTTATAGCAAATGTATACCCACATTTCCAGGCAATATATGTTTGGAAATATAGGTCAGTTGCATGAGAGACAATCAAAAATCGTCAGTGGTTCCAAAGATTAATACAAAATTGCAAATAAAATATATACAGTATGCCAAAAACAACATAACAAAATAATCATAAGATGCAAGTAACATAGAGTACATATAAAGTACATAAAGCAAATCAATAAAAATTTAAAAAAAAATGTACACGTGGTCAGTAACAGAAAGTGGAGTGAAAGAAAGAAGGGGAAGGAAAGAAGAGGAAAGCTGGAGAGAGTCCACCACCCCAAACACGCCCAGGATTCAACATGCAATTAATATGGAGTACAAAGGAATTAAGGTTCCAGGAGTTATTCGTCAAAACACAAGGGTAGAAAATTATCTACCCATGGTTGCCAAATTTTGAGATGTTTAGGGATCCTATCTTCATTAGTCACTTCCAAGCTCTCTCATTTGTTTGTTTAGTTGCTGTCATAAGTTGGAGTAACAACTGCACTTGGGCTGTATTGAGATCCTTTGTGTTATGATTTAACAATGCTAGGATGCGGTCTGGCACTAGAGAAGTATTGGTCAGGTTGGAAGCAATGTGGAAGATCTCAATCCAAAAAAGCTTTATGAGCGGGCAAGTCAACCAAATATGAAGATGTGTGCTCACTTGCCCAAAGCCCCGAAAACACAGGGAGAGGTAGCCAGGTACATATTTAGATCCTCACTGGGACCAAGTACCAACCTATGAGAACGTTATAGTTCATTTCAAGTGCTAAGATATTAGTGGAAGAACATTTGTTCGCCGCCCAAATATTTCGTCCCAATCCTCTCTTTTCAGAGAGATCTGCAGGTCCGTAGTTAATTTCGTAGTGTAGGAAGGTAAAGTGGAGGATAGACTAGAGTGATGAGTGTACAGTTCAAAGTTAATTCCTGATGAATGAAGACCTGAGTTACATATACTATCAAAGAGGGTCAGACTAGAAAGGGAAGATTGTGAACGTGTATATCTCAAGAAAAAATAGGTGATTTGGAGGACATGAAAATGTTCACTGGGTGGAAGGTGAGTTTGTTCTTGAAGGATAGAGAACGTTTTCAGACCTATGTCCATTGTGAGGTCTTTCACTTGGGTCAAACCAAGCATTCACCAGATTCTAAACAAGGCAGGACCAGAGAAAGCTGGGTAAAAGGCAGGGTTGTCATAAAATGAGAGTAAAGGAACATGGGGGAACAGCAGCTTGAAAGGGTCCTTAAGTTTGTCCCATAAGACAAGGGAATGCTGTGTTTTTAGTTTGGTGAAGGGTTCGCGTTTGGAGCGAGACAGCCAGAGTAGGTTGGCAACAGACAATGGATATAAATCCACTGCGAGTCAACCCTGTCTTGTACCTCATTATATGGGAAACTGTTCGGAACAGAACTCGGAGTATTTAACATACGCCATGAGACAGAGTCAAAAGTTTTTTTGATGTCAAGTGAAAAGGGATGTGAAGGACTGGAAAGCTTTGATCTACTTGTGTGGAGAATTTAGACCTTTAACATTCAAGGTCAATATATTCAGGGGGGCCATTTTGGCAATATGGAGTAGGCAGCATATGGGAAGTCTGGGTATATAAGGGACGGTGGACTATAGAAGTGGGTAGACCAAAAGTGGTCAATTAAATTTTTTGTAAACCTGTTGTAGGGTTCATCCTGAGGTAGAAGGGATGGAGTTTCTAGAGTGATGAGCTGTCGGCTTCGTGGGAGTTCCCTTATGAATGGAAGCAGGGCCTGTAGGACCATGGAGATGTGTTGCAGCATAGGGATATGGAGCCGGATGAGCCGTTGTGTCCTGGGTTGAGCTGTTTCAGATTCAGGCTCAGGGGTAACCAGGTGAAGCTCCTCCAGTTGGCGTTGCAGGATTCAGGTGAAATGCTGGTATATTGTTGCCCTCAGTATGTAAATTGAAGTGCAAATGGGAATATCCAGGTATATTTAAGCTGGTGCTGCAGGAGAATCTGGAGCTGAGGTTTCATAGCAAGGCATCTTGCGACTGTGTGTGGGACCAGATCAGAGAAGACTTGGTATATATGACTTTGGAACTGTAATACATACTTAGAGCGAGCAGCCGAGAGGAGTTGTTCCTTTTGTGCGATAGAAATGTAAATGGACTATTATGTCCCATTAACGGCCATCAGGCTGGCGGCGTGTTAGGGCCCTGTGAATCCTATCGAACTCTAAGCACTTGATGGGCATAGATGTAGATAGTTCCTAGAAAAGAGCTGTAGTAAACGATGACAGGTCCTCTACAGACTCAGGGATTCCACAGATTCTTAAATTGGATCTGCGAGATCGATTTTCTGCATCTTCTTAGTGAGATAGAAGTACTTTATTTTCCTCACGGAGTGTCTCGAACTCTTGATTGTGCTCATTGAGCATAAGTTCCATTGCATCTACTTGGGTGTTCCAAATCAGCTGTGCATTGGCCTAGTTCCCTTATCTCCCGTGGTAAGTGGTCAGTATTCTGCTGTAGTTTTAAGGGCTTTCTGTAACATAGTTTCCATGTGTTTAAGAAAGTCCCTGTGTGACATTCCTGAGGATGGTATGGTAGGGGAATCATGAAGGCCAGGTGACACCTCTATGTCCCCATCACTATCCATGGGCTCTGACTGGGCCAGGGATGTGGTATGCTGCAGCATGGACGACTTTGCCGCCATCTTAGATGGGGCGTGGGCTAGGACTTCTTTAATGAGTTTGGGCTTTCCCATTCCCTGGTGGCCTGTGAGAAATATCGTACTGGGATCACTGGTGGTCCAGAGACAGATCGTGGAGGAGCGGCGGGTGTATGAGGACTCAGACCAGAGTTATTCCCCAGTAATGCTGAAGGGAAAGCAGAGCTCTATGGAGACACGTCCGCCATGGTGCACTTTGAGCATGTGCCACCCGTTGTGAGTTTTTAAAGTAGTGCATGCACTACTTTTGGTGTAGTCTGATGCAATTTAAGCCCATTCCAATGAATGAGCTGAAATCACACTGCACTTGAATCACACGGCAGGTTCCTATGTGATTCATTGTGTGAACCAGCCTGAAATGCATATTTTAACATGTTACCACAACCACAGTAACCCATGGAACTCAGTGC